AGTATAATGCATTGTGGTCACGGATAAATTTCATTATGTTGCAGATTTAAATTTTTTATTTTTCATACATTCGCAAACTCGCTAAGTTTAATCCTTTGCATAAATTTCCAGCAGTAAGGTATATGCTATTTTTCAGAAAATAATCAACTTTTCAATTTTCCAAACAACTTGTCAGAAAATTATTGGGCAATTATTAATTTTTTTTCGAAAATTTGATAGCAGATTAATTTTTCCTGGGAACTACTACATCGACCTACCAGAGGGTCTGTAGGAATATGCTTACAACTTTGATCTAACAAGTAACTCCAGTAAAACATTTCATTTTTTATGACCTGCTCCAAGTGTTCACAGATCCAGTGTACTCCTAACTTCTCACCTCTCCACCCTCCTTAATCTATTTGTCTGCTCATTCTTATTTTATTTTCCTTCATTTAGTCATTTGTTTAATTCCTTTAATTTTATTTATTCATTTTTACTATCTTGGGCACCAGTAGAGCGTACTGGTGTACCTTCAACACAAACTCAGCACATTATTCATGTTTGTTACTACTTCTATAATTCTGCTGTAAAATCAAATAATAAAAATCATAAAAACAGCCACCATCTTAAAAAACCAACTTCAATCCTGCATAATTTATAGGCTACTGCCTATATAACGAGACACCTACGGTGCATGGCCTCGCCCCTATAGCTGCTATGGTGCATGCCCGCCTGCAATAGCTGTTTGATTATCAGCATAAAAGAATGGCATGAAGAGAGTCTGCTCAACACTAGCTTCCAGCAGTTGCACTTGCTCTTGAATACCTGCAGAAGTAGCAGCACTGCAGCACATACATGCAAGCAGCTCCAGCCCCTCCCATGCATGTAGATTGAAAGGTGTGGCATTCCATCATAACTGGAATGATTGGCAGCAAGAAGACCATGTGAGAAAGAAGCTTCACTTTTTCTTTACTAGTCAGCAATATATGATAAACGTGCTGACAGAAAAGTCACTGCCTTTGTATATTTGAGATAGTATAGGTACTTTAGTACCTATAACCCAGCAAGTTGTTGCTCTAGCGCTGCACAAACGAGTGACCTCAACAATTTCAAGTAAGTATAACTCTTCATCAAGCAAGATTTAGAGAAATCTGTTCATATTATTTGAAGGCCATGTTCTAATCTATGGAAAAATGCTACCAGCTATCTCTAAAGTGCCAACACAACGGAACTTGGCCCAACTACTTGATTTTTCTTACTTTGAAGCTTCTGTACCTAGCACTTGTATTTGAGCAACACAAAACAGTTAAGAAAGACTTTTCCACGTCAAAAAGAAAGATCTAGGAGCTTAGAACACGCTGTGCTAAAGTTATTGTTTATTAAAGACAAATTTCAGTTGTACAGAATGAATGAATGACAGACAGACAGACACAACAACTACCTATACCTCGCGTAGGCGAGGCCAATAATAAGAATAATAAAACAATTGTACTGGTTACTCTACATGATGTTAGGGACAGACCAACCTCTTCCAAGTGTAAAGCAATGTATAATACTTGTTACCAATCTGCCAAAATCAATTGATATTAGCTACTGGAGCCCAACATCAATAGCTAGGATTGTAGCACAATTTTTTGTTTTAGGTTATTCTCCTGGATTCTAAAATTGTCCATTGATTGATTCTGGTACAACCAGGGTTTTTCACAGAATTGTGGCATATTGCTCAGCTTCTGTTGTCAGTGGAATTTTAAAGTTGTTCAAAATTTTGACAAAATATCTCACACTGGTATTTTGTCAAATTTCGTCAAACATGTAGCAAAGATAGAATTTCCATTACATTATACATGTTCCATTGTCATGTAGAAAGTTTGAGCTCATTCCAATCTAAGCTTTTACTCCATGGCTACATTTCATCAAAAATAGCTAGGACAGAATTCTTCATTTTTATTCCATTTTCTGATACACATACATGTACTTATGTTGCGTAGAAATTTTGAACTGATTTTGATCAAAATTAAGTTGCTCTAAATGCCATGTATGGTACTGTAGTGCTTGTCAGTTCATGAAACTCATGCTGTTTAGCTCAGGCTTAGCATGCTTTGTGGGAAACCCTGCATGCATTAAATATTACAAATATACAAGAATAGCATCATGGTCTAGCACTCTTGATCACTTAATTCATTTTGATGGCATTGGAAATAATTCTGTTGACCAGTAGTGATGCAGTTTTCAAAGGAGCATATTTGCTTCTCAGAAGACACTTTCAGAACTATGCTTGCTTCATGGTGGAAAGGAACAGAAAAATCAAACAATTCCCCTGGAGGTGGTGGGAATTTTACTTGCTATAATTACTGTTCTGGAAATTCTAAGAAATCAATAAGGCTTACAATACTTCACACTGAATTACTATTTTTCCCCTCTTTTAGCTATCATTCCACCTATAGATGGATCTTCTGTTAAGCATCCCTTAGTGACAAGATTACTTCAAGGCCGGATGATCAAGACTTGTTTTAGAAAAGCTAGTGAGCAAGCATGTCTCTGATAATACATCAGTCTTTGA